ATTTGCAAACTTGGAAAAAGCAGTTCTGTATAGTGTTCTGCTTGGAGGCAATGCCATGTCAGTGCTGTCAACAAAGGCAGCTTTTAACCTGCTGCTTAAAACATATAGTTTCCACTTCTTGGGACTTCAGTTTGACAGATTTTGGTTTGATGAGGTGAGAGCTTACAAAGTAGTGAACTCATGCTGGGTGAGCTGTTACTTTTCTAGGAGTGCAGAACAGTGTGTAGTCATACATCATAAGCCTAAAAGCCTTTCTGATTTATTTCTTTTTGTTTTCTTTCATGAAAGGATGAACAACTGATGTGCTGGTCTTACATAACCTGCTAAAGGATTTGGTTTAGAAGTACTGTCCACCTTTTAAAGAAATGGACTCTCATAAATCAAATTTGTTTAGTGAACAGACACCACTTAGAATGAAGGGAGGGTGAACTAAAACTGATGTTTTTGCACGTGGTTCTCTTCCTGTAGATCTTTCATATACACCAGACACAAGGTGTTGGAAGAGAGGGCTGCTCTCTGATTTCAGGAATCCAAGCTGACTGAAAAATGACCTGTTCTTCTGGGCCAGTCAGCAGCACCTGAGTTTTCTGTTTGGCAGACAGACAGCTCTGCATGGGCATGTGTTTTTCTAAAGACACAGCATATCTAGAGCCATGTTTCCCTGGGATCCTGGGGCTAGTGTTGTGCCAACTTCTTGATTTTTGTGCTGACAGTTGTCACAGCTAAGTAAATAAAACTTTTGCAGGGTAATACTGACTTGATGGGAATTGTAACCTGGAAAAAACGTATTTTCAAGGACGTGAATGTAAAAATTTCAAACTGTACAATAGTAAACATTCAAATAAAATTCCAAATTGTACAGTAATAAAAGTCCCATCCCTCCCCCCTCCATTTCACACAGCCACTGGCCTTCAGCATGTGTTGGGCCCTGGTTTTTAGAGCAGTGCATCTAGATGGACTGCCCAAATCTCACCTCTGGACACTTGCACACAGGTGAGCGTGCAGGTATCAGCGTTAGGGCTGCACACTCAGGGCACACTTGGGTTTAGCAGCGTGTTCGCACACGTGCTGCTGCTGACTCTACCAGAGACTCTTGTTTCAGTCCAACGTCATCAGATGTCTTTTTGACAGCCAAAGGCAGAAGGGAACTGTTTTCCTGCCAAAAATTGAATCCCTGCTCAGAAGCATGAAAACGCTGGAGATCTTAAAAATAGAGAGAAAAAAATAACTTCAAAAAACCCACGTGTTTCTTATGATTGCATTTTCAGTGGGTCTGAAGTGGGTTTGCTGGAATTCATATATTTAGCACAAGAGGGAGAGCAATTATACAAAATGTGAGCTGAAACGATTAAATTTGTCAAGTTACCTGGAAGTAAAACAGCCTGTGGTGTGAAGTCTTAGCCAACCTTAGCTATACCGCTGCCAGCGATGCCTGTCAGGCAAGGAATGTGTCATCCCAGTTTTGTCAGCTTCACCCTTTTCCAGTGCTAGTACTGCAACACGTCCTACTTGTTAAGCAATTTATCTCTCAACACTTTACCAGTAGGATTAAATTTATGGTGTCAGTAGGTTCCTTACAAATAAATTCTTAAGTTCCTTTAATTTTGAAAGGATTTTACAGAGGAAGTAATAACGTCTCAGATTACAGATTCAGATAACCACGGTAGAAGGTAAACAACTGGCCAATAGCCACCCTGCAGGCCAGGATAGCCTGGAATTAAAGTCCCATGTAAGAGTGTCCAATCAAGGAGAGCCTGTGTATATGAAGGGCAACTTTTGTTGAGATATTGGAGCGGGGTCTAATCAGGATCTGTCCATATAAAGAAAAACACAAAGCAAACACTGGAAGGATTACAAACAACTAAAACTGCATTGAGAGTGAAGAGACACTTTCAGATAAATTAACAAAATGATTCTCCTAAGATAGTGAAAATGGCTGGAGAGAGAATGTTATATGGGGATCAGAAAATTATGGACTGGATCTCAAAGTGCCTTACCCAAGAGACCAAACAGCATTGTAAGGATAGGATGAACTTTGGAAAAGCAGTAAGTTTTAAAGCAATACATGGCTTATTTCAAATTTAGTGTTAAATTCCTATTTACAGTTCCTATTTTCTATTTATTTAGTTAGTTATTTAAAGCAAAATGTTCTTTATAGTCCTAACCTTGTATTTCCAGTAAGTATTTGCAATCTCAACAAACTGGTGTGATCCAGGATCAGGGTTTGCATCTTGTCAGAGGGAATAAAGTGGTACCTACCACATTCCTTGCCACACTGATAATGTATAATTCTGTATAGAGAAAAGATTTCTGAACCTTGAGAACTGCACACAAACTTAACCTGTATGAAAGGTGTTGGCATTGCTATCAGTGGATATTGTCTATCTGGACACCCAAAAAGCATTTGACACAGTTCCCCATGGAACTCTCATAAAAAAACCTGGCTGCTTAAGGCCTAGATGAGCATATGATCTGTTGGATCAAGCACTGGCTGGACAGTTGGGCCTAGAGAGTGGTGGTCAATGGAGTCAAATCCAGCTGGGGCCAGTCACAAGTGGTGTTCCTCAGGGCTCAGTGTTGGGACCGTTTCTGTTTAACATCTTTATTGATGATCTTGATAAGGACATAACGTGTATTATCAGTAAGTTTGCAGATGACACCAAGCTAGGCAGGAATGTTGATCTGCATGAGGATAGGGAGGCTCTGCAGAGAGACGTGGATAGATCAGATCATTGGGCTAATGTTAATGGTCTGGGCTTCAACAAGGCCAAGTGCCAGGTCCTGCACTTGGGCCACAACAACCCCAGGCAACACTCCAGGCTTGGGGAAGTGTGGCTGGAAAGTGTCTGGCAGAAAAAGACCTGGGGGTTCTCATTGACAAGCAGCTGAATATGAGTCAGCAGTGTGCCCAGGTGGCCAAGAAAGCCAATGGTATCCTGGCTTGTATTAGAAATAGTGTGACCAGCAGAAGTAGAGAGGTGATTGTTCCCCTGTACTCAGCACTGGTGAGGCCACACCTGGAGTGTTGTGTCCAGATTTGGGCACCTCAATTCAAGAGAGATATCGAGGTGCTGGAGCGAGTGCAGAGGAGGGCAATAAAGCTGGTGAAGGGCCTAGAGAATCAATCTTATAAAGAACACTTGAAGGAGCTGGGAATGTTTAGTTTGGGAAAGAGGAGGCTGGGGGGAGACCTCATCAGTCTCTACAACTACCTGAAAGGTCATTGTAGAGAGGTTGTTGCTGGTCTCTTTTCACAGGTAATTAGCGACAGAACAAGAGGTAATGGCTTCAAGCTGCAACAGGGAAAGTTTAGACTGGAGATTAGGATTTTCTTTTTTCACAAACGGAGTAGTTAGACACTGGATTAGGCTGCCCAGGGAGGTGGTTGAGTCACCATCCCTGGACTTACAGGTCATTTGGATGTGGTGTTGGTGGATATGGTTTAGGGGAGAACTAGGGATGATGGTTGGACTTGGTGATCCCAAGGGTCTTTTCCAACCTGAATAGTTCTATGATTCTATGAAAACTCAGCTCTTATCATTAAATCCAGTACTATAGAAAGATGATCACAGTGATGAAGGTTGACAGAAACAAAACAAATCCTCCCTCCTTCTCATTAAGTCAGTCTTCAGTGTAGTGTGTCCCAAACCTGAACTTGTCTGTTGTGTTACTTCAAGGAATCCTTTAAAGAGATAAGCCTGACAGGACGAGCTGCTGAGAAATTATGTCTGTGATTGGGTTGAGCCAGCAATGGAAAAAAAAAAGAAAAAAGCTTTTTGTTAGCTCTCTTGAGTCTCTATTAACTGTAACCTACATGATGCCTCCGGCTTCTGAGAAGGCTGTTAAAAAGACAGGTTGTTTCTGTGACAGCCAGCTGTTGTGATGATATTCTGTGGAAGTGTTCCTTCTAGTTGGCTAGGGATTTGGTGTGAGTATTTTCTGCTGAATGCAGTCCCTCACATTTTTTCTTTGGGGCTTATGCATAAGAAGTATTGAGTGCTGTGCTTGTCAAGCACAGTCTGGACTTCTGGAAAATTACAGATCTCTCTCTTGATGGTGTTGTAGAAATGTAAGCCAGTCTGCTCATGGAGAATTGCCGAACCTGAGAGTACTGATTCCTGTAGCACATGTAACTTCATTCCTGGTGCTACAACCTGGAATTGTTTCTTACTCTAATGCTGGGTCATGCCCCAACGGTCTGCACAGGAATAAGGAGTGCCCTGTGCCAATCACATCATACTATCAACAGCTGTGAGGGTTACAGAGCTCTGGAACAGGCTGCCCAGGGAGGCTGTGGAGTCTCCTTCTCTGGAGACTTTCAAGACCTGTCTGGATGCCTTTCTGAGTGATCTGCCCTTGTTGTTGTTTTGTTTTGTTTTGTTCCTGCTCTGGCACAAAGTTTGGACTCAATGATCCTCTGTGATCCCTTCCAACCTCTAATATTCTGTGATCTTGATTAAAAAACCTAAATGTTAACGTGTTTTTTACCTAGTTCAGGCTTCTCACATACTCAAACATGGAAGATAAATATTTATAAATCCATTGCCACATCAGTCACTAACTAGATTGTCTACATAGACAACTGTTATTATCATTAGTTTCAGTAACTGCAGCTCACTGTTTTATTTTATTTTGACCACAGTGTTACCGTTTCACAGCTTGCTTTGAGGCAAAGGCAAACCACCAGCGGGGCTGTGTACAGCTGGCCATGTTAGACTTTGCTCCTCCTTGTAATTTTTAAATTCATGTGGCTATGAGTAGTGCTGCTCACAGGGAGTGGGCTGGGAATAACGGATCCCATTGATTACAGAATTTCTCCATTTAGTGTCTGGCCTCATCATGAGGATCTTTATATGAGACAGTCAAGTCAGCAGAAGAATCTCAGTATGTGCCTCAGGAGCGGGGCACAAATGGTCACATTCTGAAGTGACTTCTTTTTTCCACAGTGTTTGCAGCGGCCCCGGAGGGCTCCCCCGCGCACCCCGCCCGGGGAAACCAACACTTCCCTGGCGCTCCCGCCGCCGGGAGCCCCGCAATCCCGCGGGCTCTGCCGGGGCCACCTCGTCGTTCTCATCACCAAAACCCCATCTAAGTATAAACATGAGAACAAGCTCCAAACTTTTCCTTTATACAGGAACAAACCAGTCCCTCTCGGAGCAACTGGTCGAATTTTTCCCTTTGTCACCTACCGCGTTAGAAAATGACAAACGCGAACTTTAAAGGCCGCCTGTATCCAAACGATCCCGTTATTAAATTAACTGTGCTTTCCCAGTCCGTCAGCGGGAAGGGCGCGGCGGGAGCGAACATTCCCAGCGGGAACATCCAGCGCCACTACGGGCGGCGCGTCCTGGGCTGGCGGGGCGGCTCTGGCGCTGCCTGCGAGACGCCCATCCGCCCAGAGCTCCCTTCCTTCCTCCCTTCCCTCCTTCCTCCCCCCCGTCCCCGTCCCGCCGCCCCGGGCGCC